ATTCCACCTTTGCTCTGACTGATACTCTATCACATATCGCAACGACGCACCAGCGCCCGCCCTGCAAACTGCGTGAGGCGACTCGATACTCGCCAGCTTCCCCGCCCAATCAGCCCCCCATGGTGCCAGCGCGGTTCTGCACGTCTACGTTCCCCGGCGACGCAGCTCAACGTTTTGGTCACATCGCTCAACCATGTCATGACGGTTAGGTATGCCAGATGAAGACATGCAGCACCACCCAGCGCCCAGCACCCAGCACCCAGCACCCAGCACCCAGCACCCAGCACCCAGCAAGCACCCTGCAGTTGCTGAAGGTTGCCGTCGCTTGTTGATGCTACATGTATCCCACTCACCGTACGGTAGTCGACCAAAGATTCTCTCAAAGCCTGAACCCGAAGTCAGTCAGCCCAAAGTAACATGGGCAGGGTGCAAACTTGAAGCCTGACCGACTGACAGACCGACGCGACCGACGGCGGCGGCTTTCCCACCCCTCCCAAATAGTCCTGGGGGCTGGACGCCTGAGACCTGCCTGCGTGCCTCCTGTTGGTCTTTAGGCAATGCGCGTCGCAGTCATCATTCTGCCCTCCCCATCCGTCTTGTTGAAAGGTCTCCTTCTTCCGGTTTTGCTCCGTTGTTCACTGTTTCCGTCCCTCTTCTTTCCTCGTCAGCTCCTCTCCCTGCTCTTGCCTTGCCGTGTTGTCTCGCATCATCAGCTCCTCGGGTCGCACAACCATCACAGCCCCGGGGAACTCGTCCCAAACATCCTTGCCCGCCCAGGTGTTTCTGGCTTCTCTGCTTCGCAGGAAGATGCAGGTCGCCCTTGGTCATTCTACGCCCATCTAATCAACCAGGATACGCCGCTGTCGAGGCCTCGGCTCCTGCACTGGCCGGGAAGCAGTGACCAGCAACCAGCAGCCAGCAGCTAGCGTTGAGAGCATTCATCCGCCGCCCCAACGAACCGTCCGCGGACGTCCTGTTGGTCGTGACTTGGCCCTGAGCAAGGCAATATCACTATTGCTTCTGACAGACGATTTATAGGTCGAGATTGATCCTTCAACGTCCACCAGATAGACAGCGCGAGACCTCGAGCCCGACATGGTACATAGCGTGGCAACGATACAACATTCGACACCACCAACACATCAGATCTTTTGATGGCAAGCGCCTCCGGCCGCCTACACCTTCTATCTCCCAGCCTGCTGCCCAACTACTCCCATCGCCGACGTGGCCGCTAGCCCACCATGCCTTCGGTCGTCAAATCCATGACAGCCATCGTCGCCAGACCGCAGCAGATTCAACCAGCAACCATGGCGTCCGATGGCAATTTCGAGAAGTACACCCGCCAGCTGACCCTTGTCGAAGACTTCATCGCGTCTCTCCGCCAGAAGGGCCTGCACCAAACATTCAAGACCGTCGACTTCAAGCATCTGACCGAGACTAACCGTCTCCCCGGCAAGAATCACGCTCGCGTGGTGGTCAGGGCTCCCATGGGAACACGCCACGTATTCAAGGGATTTGACCTAGAAGCCTTCAACAAGCATGAGCATTCATTCTACGAACACCAGCGAGACACCATGCTGCACGAGATCCAAACCCTCGCCGCCTTGCCGCTGCATCCCAACATTATGCCCTGCCCCGAGACCCTGGTGACTGTCCTGGACCCTGACGGTGGCGAGCGGGTCTGTGGGTTTCTGCAGCCAGTCATGGAACGGGAAACATTGGACGACCAGATCACCAACGCTGGTGACGTCCGCATTCCCCTCTTGCGCAAGGCAAAATGGTGCTTCCAGATGGCTCGCGCTGTGCTTCACACCCACCGCATCGCCAGGACGTATCACATGGATGTCAAGCCTGGCAACATCCTCATTGACCAAGAAGACGGCATTCGCCTCATTGATTGGGAGCAAAGTGGTGTCTCCATGTTCACCCACTCCAAGGAAGCCACGATTGACCAAGAAGCATGGGAAGAACCTCCCTCTCCCCACGACGACTCAGCTCAGCCCGCCAAACCCAGGATCGTATACAAGCCCCACGCTGGGGCACCGAGAAAGAACTTGCATTGGGGCTATCCCGACTGGAACGTCTTTCCCATCTGGAAGAAAACGTGCCCTCGTGCAGCCGAGCTGGCTGAGGTGTTTAGTCTCGGTCGTGTCATGTGGATGCTGATGGAGCAGCTCGAACAGTCACCCAACCCGACCGTCTGGACCGCCAGGTCGGCCGATGTGCCCCAGAATTGGAAGGACATCATAAATCAGTGCATGGAATTGGACCCGAACGCTCGGCCTGACTTGGATGAGCTTGTTGACTTTTGGAGTGCAGAAGTTGAGAGACTTTCCGGCGCAAAGGGTGCCAGCAACGGCACGAACAACAGCACAGCGATCAGCACGAGTAACAGCATGAACAGTGGCGCAGGCAATGGAGTCAGCAAAAGCATCAACAACAGCATCAGCACAGGCGCTCGGAACGGCACCGGCAACGGCACAATCCACAACGGAAGCAACGGCGCAGGAAACAACACGTCTTCGCACGTGTGATTTGCTTTGTCCAGCAATGCATCTGTTTACGAAGAGGGGGGGCTTTTCTACTTTCTTACAGCATTATCAGGAGAGGGTTTGTCTGGTAGATCAAAATTGCTTCAGGGTCGTAGCCAGGGTGTTTCCGCCATTGCAGCATTGTCTTCCATGGGGTATCACGAGCATCATCAATTCAAAGTCTTTGTTCATTTGCCCTGCTGAACCTGTCGGGCATGTTTCACGCCTCGAAATTCCAGCCATGATGCAAATGATAGGCCTTAATTTGAGGAGGAAACACAACCGCTGCAACGCTCGTGTTGATCTTTCCGATCTCCTTGACATGGTCTGGAAACGGGGCTACAGCACCTACTAAAGTGGCAAAATACAGGAGGCGCATCCCTACAGTACATGATCCAGGCTGACGACCAAACAGTAGCACGACGCTAAGTGTGCCTCGATTTCCGCTTTGGGACAACTCACTATGAATCATCGTCCATCATGTCCACTGCAGCCATGTCAAGTTCGTCTACTAAGGTATGTTTGGACCATCTTGCTCAAAAGGCTTGGATATAACAGGCGTGGTGGTCACTGCGAATCACTTACACGAATCCTCAAAGTCTGAAGAGCTACCACAATCAAGCCACCACATCTGCCTGACGCAATACAATTATCCCAGCCCGTCTTTGTACCAAGCAAGACACACAGCCCACCCATTCCTGCAATCCGCGATTCATGACCGACACAACAACGAACAACACAGCCACAGGCACTACCACGACCATGGCCTCCAACGCCATCCGCCAACCCCAAGCATTGACAAGCTGCCGGTTGTGCGACCTCTCCTTCAGCAACGTCGCGGAGAAGCGCCAACATGCCAAAAGTGACTGGCAGTAAGCTTACTGTGACGATGGTTTTTTTTTTTTGGAGCGCTGCAGCTGACCAGTGAGTAGCATCTACAAAATTCGATGTCGCGTGGCGGAAGAAGGGACGCTCATGGCACCTCCAGAGAGTGCAGGCAGGCCTTCGACGAGGCGGGGGACAGCAGAGCGCGCTGCACCGATTTCTGCAGCATCTGCTTGTGCTGAAATGCAAGACCAAGACACCACTGATGACGAGGACGACGACGATGACGACGCTAATGACAGCCCATCAGAGGCAAACCCCAACATCGTCAAGTTCATCCCAAGCGCCTGCCTCTTCTGCCCCAAGACCAGCCGCGACTTCGAAGCCAACCTGTTACACATGCACCAAGCTCACAGTCTGGCCATCCCATTCCGATCCTCCCTAGCAGTGGACCCCCAGACGCTACTCTGGTTCCTCCACATGACCATCTTCAGCTACCGCGAGTGCATCTGTTGCGGGACGCGCCGCCGCACCGTCGTGGCCGTGCAGCAGCACATGCGCGCGGCGGGCCACTGCCGGTTCAGCGTCACCCCGGAGATGAACGAGCTCTACGACCTCGACTCGCTGGCCCGGCGCGCGTCGGCCCTTGACGTCCGTCCCGGCGCGCACGCGCTGCGGCTGCCGTCGGGGAAGCTCCTCGCGCATCGCGCGCAGGCGGCGGGGACACGGCTGCGGGACGCGGGCGCCCGGTGCGCGGCCTTCTCTGCTGGCTGCGGCGCCATATGCTGCGGGAAGCCCTTTCAGCGGGACGGGACGGCGCGGAGCCGGTGCTGGCGCTGGCGAGGCGCGATCGGAGGGAGCAGGCGCTCGCGGCTGGGATGGCGCGGTTGCGTGCTGCGGATCGGATGAGCGTTGTGCATCTGCCGCTGGGTCAGCAGCGGGCGCTGCTCGTGGCGCGCACCAAGGAGTTGGACGGGGCGAAGCGCGCCGAGTGGCGGACGAGAGGCCGTAGGGACCATGTTGGCAACGTGACGGCGATACATACGAACTGCTACAAGCAGGAGGTGCCCGTGTATATGAGCGGTTAGGTAGACGGACCAATGCCATGATCAGTGCACTGCAGTTCGCCTGAGACATGGGGCATAGAGGTGCCAAGTCTGCACGGTGCATCCAAGGCGGCCTGTTTGTTAGACAGGCAAAATAATATGCAAATGGGGATTTGCAGTCTGGCCAACTGTGTCAGCATGTTGCCCGACCTACACCCTCGCTATCCTACTTGCCGACCCATCAAGGGGCACGGTAAACGCTGAAAAATTCCACAAGAGCCACAACGCCTTTCTGAAACCCACGAGACCCAGAAGAAAAAGATGCTGAAACTGCCGCTGTCCCGGTAAACCCAAGAACCAATGCTCATTTCATTTCATGCTGAGACCCCCAAAGTACCGATCCAGCTCGGCCCCCTCGTCGGTGCCCATCTCGCTCGGCCCCTGTCCGCCATTGGCGTCCCCCGACAGCATGTCGACCTCGCCGCCCCTCGGCTGGCCGTCCGCGGCGACGTCGCCCTTGCGCTCGGGCTCCAGTATCCGCGCCTCGCTGTCGAGCCAGCCGGGCGCGACCTTGCGCTTCTCGGCGAGGTCCCGCGCGCGGGCCCTCTCCTCGAACTCGCGCAGCTCGCGCTCGGCGTCCTTCTGCATGCGCGTGATGTGAGCCTGCAGGGCGCGACACGAGGCGATGATGTCGTCGGGGTGCGCGGCGTGGCCGGACTGGGAGATGATGTACCGCGGTTTCGGGGCCGGCTGCTGGGGCGTCGAGGTGCCGTCTTCTGCTGGCGGCGCTTGGGTGGCGGAGGGGTTGCCGAGGATCGAGGGCGGTAGCGCCGAGGGCATGGCCTTGTAGTTGTAGGAGAGAGTCGTCGCCGTGGGGATGGAGACGAATGGGGAGACTGTGAGGGGGACTTGGTCGAGGAGGTGGGAGCCTGTGGGAGGGTGTTAGCAGTAACAAAGAGAGTAGAGGGACATGGGGCGTCGTACGGTTGTTGTACATGGCTGCTATGTAGGTAGTAGTCTCTGCTTGAAATTGAGATTGGTGATTGGAGTGTGGGACAGGCACCAGTGTCTGTAGATGCTTTGCGACGAGTTGTTGGGGTGGAAAGCTGCCGCGTCGCGAGGCGGCGTGAAGTCAATAGGAACAGGCAGTTACGTCAGCAGTCGCAGCCGCCGCCACAGGGCAGCCCGAGGCAGGTACAGGGCAGCACGACAGGCACTGAGGCAGCAACACTGGGGGTTATAAGGGAAGGAACTGCCAGGGTCCAACCCCGCACTAGCCATCACCCCATTGCACATTCCCCAGCCAGCATCCAAAGCATCCAAGGCATCCCGCCAATAACACCACGTTCACGTGTCGATAAGGGGGATAAGAGCTTCCAGGGATCTGCATCTTTCTGCCCCAGCGCTGTCGACACCCCCACCATCATGCCTCCCTTCTCCCCTCCATCATTGTCTTTGTCTGACGGAGCCAAGCCGAATATTCTGCAAGAGCTTTCCCAGATCGTCAGCATGTTGACCACTACCATTCGATCCCCGCCTTCGCTCGGAGACTACCTTCCGCTCGAGGAGTACGAGTCCCAAACCCCAGAGACCTTCTTCGGCGGCAAGCCTGTTCTGCACCACCATCTGCAAGGTGCAAAGATCTGGATTCCCAAGTCGCAGTCAGCCGCCCTGCCCATCTTCACCGATGCCTCTGCCGCCGTCTCTGCGCCTGAGGGTGCCACGCTCACAGGCATGACGGATGACTTGACGGAGCAGACCATTGACCTTTTCGTGAACTCAGAGTGCGCTTCTCCTGCCATCGCTCTCCCCTTTTGGCGTGCCTGACTGCTGACTGTTATGCTATCAAGGAACTTCACCATCTACAGCGCGGCCGCCACCGCTGGTGTCTCCATCCCCTATCCCGCCATCTCGATCCACGCTGTCAAGCAGGGCGGCACACTGACCGACGGCACCCCCCTGCATGCCATCTGGATGCAACTTGAACTGACCGACAACGCCGATGACGAAGGCAGCTCCGTCGACCTGACAATTGTGCCGCCCGTCGGTTCGAGCGTGCAGCAGCTCTACGCTGCCATCTCCGCGTGCTCAGATCTGCACCCCGATCCTGTGGAGGAGGACGACGATGAGGAGGAGGATCGAATCGTGTTTGAGGGCGAGCATGAGGCTCTTGAAGGGTTCTCTGGTGTCCTGAGAGGAAACGCCAACGGAGGGTTACCTCCTCCTTTCCCAGGAAGCTCGGGATGGATCACAGCCGAGAACGTTAACGAATACTTCGATGCCGACGGTAACTGGATTGGCGAAGGTGCTGAGGAGGGTGTCAGTGGTGAGCTGGGAGAGGGTGCTGGGAGGGTGAGGGCATTGGATGAGGTGAATGGACATGAAGGTGGCGAGGAGGATTCGGATAACAAAAGACCAAGGGTCGAAGAGGCTCCGCCATCCTAGGACGAGCGGAGGAAGCACAACAAAAAAGCGACCTCATCTGGATATCGGTCCACAGTGACGCCGCCTGCAAAACACAATCGTGTGTGAGAGGACCAACCACGAGTAGGTATGAAACCTTCTATTCTCAGCTTCCTATCTCTGGTATCGCTGAACTATGTGATAAGACACACACAAAAAAAGGACAGCCTGTGATCCAAAGATGCTGACCCAGGCAGGTATTAAGAAAGTTTCCGCAACCCAATACATACAAGGAAAGGGGCACTCATCCCCTATAGGTATGAATATGTTCGCAGATCAACACCATGAACAAAGAAAACTCGGAACGCTTAGATCCTGAGGGCACCTCCCTGTCGTCCCTCGGCTACCGACGATGGAAACCTCTCGGGCGAGCTCATCAGAAATCCGTCCTTGTCGTACAAACCCAGGCTGTCTGCGCTGGCGCGATTTCTTGTCGGCGTCCTGGTCCTCTCCCGTCCGCGGCTGACCTCCTCAGCATCGTCTTCCGGCATCTCCAGCGCGTCCACAAAGATCGGCTCCTTAACCTCGGCGAAGCGGACGCTCAGCCTGCGCTTCGGGCTCTCTGCCGTGCGAAGGCTTCCCTTGAGGCCGCCCCTCGTCAGAACAGGCACCGTCGATTCGCCGTTTTCCTTCTCCTCAAGAGAGTTCATCTTGGGTGCGACAGATGCCGGTCGCCCCTTGACGGAGTTGCGGTTTGAGCGGATGCCGTTGCGGGACTTGGGGCTCGGCGTACCCATGGACAGGTAGTTTTGACGTCCCGCGCGACCGGCGCGTGAATTGCTGCGCTCTGGGCTGAAGCCGCCGCCGCGGAGGTCGGCCACATCGTCAGCGGCGGTGGCAGCAGACGAGGCGACGCTGTAGGCGCTCACTTGGGAGTTCATACGACGAAGCTGAACGATCGAGGCGCCGAGCGGAGAAATGTGGGTTGGGGAGCCGCGGTTGATGGAGTTTTGAGGGCGGAGGATGAGAGTCGGGCTCATGGTCGGGCCAGGGTTCGAGTACGTTGAGGAGGCATTGGAGGGGCCGCGCGACGGTGTCGTAGACTGGGAGCGGCGGCGAGTGGGAGAGGGGGTCTTGGAAAGGAGGGTTGGGTCCGGCAAGGGGCGGGCGATTACAGGGCTGGAGGGTATCTCGGTGGGGATCCCGCCGGCAGCGATGATGGAGCGGCGGGTATGGAGGTTGTGAGTCGGGAGTTCAAGGTCATCGGCTTCCGCAGCATCTTTCTCGTGGGGCGAGCCCTGGATAGGGCGCAGGTTCAGGGGTGGCGGTATGACAACAGAGCGACGGCGGCGGTGGCCCTTGCGGTCCTCTTCGGGGGTGGAGGGGCTGGCCATCATGCTCGTGGCGCTGTTGCTCGTGGCGAAAAACTTGGGCTTCATGGTGACGACGCTCTTGGGGCGAACCGACGACTGGCCCTGCTTCTGGGCAGATGGCTCCATCATGATGGAAAGGCGGAGCTCATCTCTGTTGGACAATTGACCATCCTGGGCCGCGTTGAGAGGCGCCATGATGAGCGAGCTATTGCTCGCGCGGCGATTTCCTGAAATCTGGCCCAGAGCCCGGCTGTGGTCTTGGTAGGATCGGGTTTCGGGCATCTGCGGTTGTTGGGCCTCGCCGCTGGCTGAAAGACGACGCGGAGACCTCTCTGGCACCTGAGGCGCCGGCGGCGGGACGAGGAACGGGTCGCTCATCTTTGGTGAGTGCTGAATTCGCCTGGGCTTGAAGCTGCCACGCTGCTGGTTGGGATCAACTGGGTGCGCCCAGGGGATCTTCTCGCCTGTCTGCGTCTCATCATCTTCCTCCTCGCTGTAGAGGGTCGACAGAGCCGATGACACGGAGCTCGTCATGGACGGGATCGACACGCTGCGCTTGTGCTGCTGGGACTTCTGCTGTGAAGTCTCGGCGATCATGGCACCAATTGACGTCTGGCTTTCCCGGCGGTCGGGGCTTGACAAACCTGCAGGCATGACAGCGTCTTGTTCGGGCGTTGTCTCGCCGTACAGACTGTCCTGGTCAGACGCCATGGAGCACGTCGATTGCTTGCGCCTGTGCGTTGGCGTATACACATCAGGCTGGGCGGCCGTCTGCTGCGACTGGCCATACGCGATGGTACTGGTACGGGGGTTCATGGCGGCAGGGGCGCTCTGAGGTGTCATCGGCTGTGCCATCCTCTTCTTCGGGCTGGGGGTCTGCTGCTCGGGTACAATTTCCGTGCTACGATACTCGCCGGCGACGCTGCGCCTCTCGTTCCAGGCTGTGCCGGATTTGACGGGCGAGCCGCGCGAAGCCGGCGTGCGAACGTGGCGAGTGGCCCTGTTCGGGCCGGTGGTGCTGTTACCATTGAGGCGCGGGTCATTACGGATCGGGCTCGGGCTACCATCGTTGAGGCGCTGGGCCGTGTTACGGAGGATGGTCTGGAGGTCGGACTCTGTGTTGACCTGCCTGAGCTTGGCCTTGGGCGGGGGACGGGGACCGTTAGGAACGCTCTGGGGATTGACCGGTTCCTGCTCCTTCTCGTCCTGAGATTGCTGCTGCTTCTTCTGAAAGCCTGCCCTCAAGGCGGCGGCTCGCTTCTCGGCCATCTCATATGACGGCGTCCTGACAAGGGGCAGTCTTGACGTGGGTTTCTTGGCGTCCGGACGTTGCTTCTGCGGGCTGAGCGCGGCAGGCCGCGGCTGCTGGACGAGGGGGTAATTCTGGTGCTGATAGAAGATGGCCGTTTCCGGTTCGTCACGGTAGCCGAGGAGGTTGGGCAGCGTGGGCGTTCGCATGATGAGCCAGCTCTCCCGGAGACTGAACCCTTTGGACTCTCGCTTCGCCTTGACGACCTTGGGCCCGTGGATGGCGTCCTCGTCGATCCAAGAGTTGCACGAGTTCTTCCTCTTACGGCCCGCCGGCGACCCGAAGATGTTGAGGCTGCCGCTGTGTTTGATGGCAGGGAGGATGTGTGGCAGAGACCGCCTCGCCGTCTTGCGCGGCGAGACCTGTGGCGATTTCGTCAGGCGGCGGCGCTGTCGGGGCGGGCGAAAAGAGCCGTCCTTGGTTTGCGTTTCCGTCTCAGTGGAAACGTCGTCGTCCTGCTGCAGGCGGGCTTCTGACTCGGTCGCCAGGCGAGCGCGTTGGTTGCGTCGGTCCGTGAGCGTGACGAGGATGAAGGCGAGAGATACGAAAAGGAGGGCTCCGCCTGCAATGGCGATGGCGAGGACCCAGCCTACTGTAAGGCCGCCGCCGCCGCCCTCTTCTCGGGCTGCCACTCGAGGGGGCATCGTGACTGCTGTGTTTGACCCTGCTTCGAAGCGGATTCTGGTGGTTAATGTGACTAGACGGGCGGTTAAGCGAGCGGAGAACGATTGGGACGCGAGTATCAAGACTCGACAGTAAGGAAAAAAAAACAATGAACGAATGATGTCAGAACAAAACGAATGGACGACGCCGCGCTGGCGGGAATCAAGCTGTGAGCGAGCACAAGGTTAGTAGCGAAGGCAAAAAGGGGAGCATCGCCGCGAGATGGTGGGAAGAGCGAGAGGGTAGGTCGATCGCGGGTAATAAGGCTCTGGACCAGAATGGCACAACAAATCTGGCAGAGGTATGGGGAGGGCCCTCCTCTGCTGAGGCGCTGGCCCCAGCTGCGCAAAGAACGGGTGTGAGCCGGGCGTGGCAGTGACAGGCGGTCTTGGGTCAATGTCCGGCTGGAATGTGTTACTACAGGCAGCGCGGGGGCACATTCCTCAGGGGCGCGATGAGGATATGAGGTGCAGGAAGGCCTGTGCGTGTGAACGGATGTGAGCAGATGCATCGTGTCTGAACAGGTCTGGGGGAAGAGATTGGGGAGGCGTGATGGCAATGATCGGGCGTGGACTGCAACGCCATCATCGTCGATTTTTGGGTGTGGTGTTGAGGTCGGTGGTGATGGTGATGCATCCAGGTCAGGGGGTGGCCGATCCCCCCGCCACGACAGGCCACGGCACTCTTCCAGCCTCTTTGCACGACGCCTAACGTCATCATGGGATCGGCGGTGAGCAGTGGTAAACGATTGATTTCCGCGATGCGATGGCTTGCATCGGGCCATTCGTCCACCTGATGATGGGTGTCGTCGCACTGTCAGGGCGGCGTATGGGGCCTACGTCGACTGCCCGCTGCGCAGACCGCGTCACGTGTGAGACATGGCCAGAGTGCCAGCGTGTCAGATTGTCGATGATGCCTTGCGTCGTCTTTGATCCAGGCTCTCCTGGCTTGCCTGGGTGAAGATGGAGAGCTCAGGTGCTCGACTCTACGGGTCCCGATGGGTTGAGTTTGTGTACTGTACCCTGTCGACCGAGGCCTCGCTAGAGATTGTAGGGTTCCAGCGTACGCAGTGACCCGAGGGCTTTATTTCGTCAACTGCTTCCGCTTCGTGCCCACCATCTCCGTCGTCTACAAGAGCACATGGAATTGCTTTATTGCGAGTCTACGCAGCCATGCTCGAGAGCGCGGCTCGTGCCTTAGCTCTGGCTTCGGCATGATGCTTCATCAATGTCCTATGTTTTAATGAATCGTAATACATTGAAATGAATGAATGTTTTATGTGGCTCTCATCTCCTGGATAGGGTTTGAGCCAGTGCATGGTCTGATGCTTCATCATGCTATACCCTAGTCTTTGAGTATGTGGAAGGCTTTTGCGTTTGTGTTTTGGAGATGAGAGCTTTCAAAAACACTTCTGGAGGCTTCTGTTGCTCTTCACATGGATTTCATCAGTCAAATTGGGATATCGCTCTAGTGTTGAGAATGCACACACAATATGCCATGGGGTACGACTTCAAATACACTACCATAAGGTTGAGAAAGGGCATGTGGATGTAATGCTTGGCCATTCCGGTTTCATACGGTTCTCATGGAACCTGAAATCTGGGAGTAAATTACGAGGTCCAAATTTGCGTGTACGTTGGCGGTCAAGAATTTCGCGATCCGAACGAAGGACAACAGTTGTTGGTCTCTTGGGGGTCTCTAGTCAAGTAGAAAAATCAATACCCTCCTCCTTGAACTACGGATCGATGATCTTTCTTATAAGTAAAGCAATCCCTCGTTACTCTCGTTATTCCCTTCTACTCTGTAACCGTTTGCCAAACTGCCGGTGTCCCACGGTTGTCCCGTAATTGATCGAAGGTCCTGACATGAACTATGGCCTGGCAGGCTAGATTTCATTCTTGTGGCCGCCTAGTAGCGAAAGGCCAAGTATCACATCACCACATAGTTAAAATCCATAATATTCGAACTGAAAGAGCTTGTTGGGCGTGTTTCATCATGACAGATTGGTCAATTGGGTCGACTGCTTGTATATCAGTGAGTTCTTTCGTGAGGACATTTTCCGAGGAACTCCACGACGGGGTAGATTCTGCTGAGAAAGTGTTTAGTCCGCACAAGGACGATATCCATCCGCTAAATCTGGGTAACTGAGAGTCTAATAGAGGTATACGTTCATTATCTTCTCCTTTCACATCCATAGGGAAACGAATGTCTAGATGTTAGCGCGTCAATGGGAGGGACAGGAGGTCCTTCGATTTACACTCCAGGCCGACCAAAGCTGGATGCTCAGAACATCACCAAAAAGCCGTGAGCCAAGTGAATGCCGGGCTATCGTGGTCTCACTCTTGGGACTTCTCCAAAACGTAGTATTGCCTCCTCAGTTATTACCTTACGTTTCGGAGCAGGGCCCTGGCTTGCCTGCTTGCCTGCTTGCCCGAGTCTCATTGAACGCCGGGCTCACCAGCTGTCACCAGATGGCGCAAGCACATCCCCACGGATAAACCCCGCGGATTAACCCACGAGCTCAAGCTCCAAGCGCGGGCAGCTCCAAAAATCGGCCAGGCTCAATCAACCTCAGTCAACACCAGTCCACGATATCACGACCAGCCCGCGACACCGACGACACGACACCCCAGACCGCCTCCCCAGACCAACCGCCACAATGACTCCACAATCGGCATCCCATCAAGCTCCTCAACGAGGCCCAGGGCCACATCATCACCCTCGAGATCACCTCCGGCCAAACCTACCGCGGCAAGCTACTGGAAGGTCCGTCTCTCTTCTCCATCTGCATCTCTTGAGGAGACTCACCCATGGCAATCGTCACCGAGCTACGCGCTAACAAACCCCGCAGCCGAGGACAACATGAACATCCAGCTCAAGGACATCACCGTCACGGCCCGCGACGGCCGCGTCTCCCACCTCGACCAGGTCTACATCCGCGGCTCCCACGTCCGCTTCTTCATCGTCCCCGACATGCTCCGCAACGCGCCCATGTTCCGCTCCCGCAACCAGCGCGGCCGCGGCGTCGGCCTTGCGCGCGGCAGGGCGACCGTCAGCCGCGCGCGCGCCAGCGGTCGGGGCGACAGGCGGTAGACGGGGCTCGGCTCATTTACGGATGACGAACTTGAATTTTACACTTTTTTTTTCTTTTTTTGCGCTTCTTCTTCTGCTTCTCCAGATGGTTCTTGCAAATGAGGACAGAGGGTGGGGGACATGCTTTTGTTGGCATGCGCTGTGCTTGCTCGTGCAGCGCGGAGGGAAAGAATGGCGTTCCGGTTTTGGGAGGAGGTGGAGGGCTTGCGAAGGAAGAGGAAAGGAGAGCGTGGGCGAGCATGCAGGGGCTGGCGGGGCTTGCTGTGGTGAGGCGAGGAACCGTGACACCTGGCTGGCGGCGAGGAATCGCCCAGCCATCGTTGCAGGACGCGATGCGCCGCAGGGAGAACCCACCGCTGCGAGCAGAGTGTGCGCCCATCAGATGGAGCGAACGCAGAGGACCAGCAAGTCAAGGAAAGCCCCATGATGAAATACTCATGAACATGAAAAAAAAAGCGCCGTGCCGTGCGGGCAGGGGCGTGTCTGGTATCGTATCTATCAAAAGCTGCAGCAGCGTTGTGATGCTCGATGCTTGTGTATGCTCCCAACCAATGTCTATGAATACAAGGACATTTTTACGTTCCCCGCCTGTCCGTCACTTTTACAGCTCACTCTTGAGAGTGCACCTCTATTATGCACGTGATGCCCTCCTACTTCATCCTCGAAAGCGCATCCGCCGCCTTCTCCGTCAACTGTCGCGCAAGCTCCCTCTCCCGCCCATCCTCGTGAGCCTGCGCCGCGCCGCCCGTCTTGCCTTGGAGAACGTCAGCAATGCTGGCTTCCGCGCCGCGCACGGCCTTGCGGCCCTCCTCCCTGACGTCGCCCTCCCAAAACTCGCGCGCCGTCTCCCACTTTGTCTGCAGGCGCCGCAGGCTCCAGACGATGCCCAAGGCGGCGACGGCGCCGGCCTCGTAGAGCGTCGCGACGGACGACGACATGTAGAGCAGGGCGGCGAGAGACGTCGCGAGGCCCGACGTGCTCGAGGCCTGGAGGACGAGTTTCTGCGCGAGCGCCTGCAGCGCGGGCACCGTTTCCGCGTAGAGGTAGCGGCGCGTGAAGGCGATGTGCGTGGGCCACTTGGGCGTCGGGCGTGCAGCGATCGCGGGCGCCGGCGCCGCGGCAACGGGGGGCTGTTCCGACGCGGGGAGAGGTTGCGCGTAGATGGGCGCGCCGGCCGTGGTGGCTGCGCCTGCTTGTTCGATGCGGCCCGCGAGGTAGACGAGTTCACGCTCGGCGCTGGGGAGGAACCGCTGGCTCAGGATCTCGCTGGTCAGGTAGCCGACGTCGTCGACGCGCCAGAAGAGCTTCCACCAGCCAAGTTTCCGCCATCTCCTGCCTGCGAATGCGAGGTCGAGCTGCTTCTGCAGTTCCTCGTGCGCCTCCTGCGACCAGGCGGCGAGACCGCTGTTGAGTGCCGCAGACTCGGGCGACGACGCCGTGGTTGACCTGTCGGAGAGGAGACCGCCCAGCTGCCTCGACTCGGCATCTGCGATGGCCGTGGTCGTGTTATTCAGCAACGACGTGATGAGTTGTCGCAGCGCCGTTTTCGTCGCGCCATCCTGGGCCTCGGCGCCCGTCTTTAACCAGGCGACCAAAGCAGGGATGTTGCTGCCGTTCCACAGCCGCTCATACTCCATGGCGTTGCCAATGTTCTCACGGAACAAATCGACTCCCTTGCCGGCCGCCGCCACGTCAATCGGCTGGAACGTGGTGCTCTCATCCGACTGTGTCGCGGTGAACCCCGGCAGATCCACAGCAGCCAGCACGGCATGCCTGTTCTGCAGTACCGGCAGCGTCGCGACGGCAGCGGCGCCCATGAGGCCCCTCGTGACGACGAGCGCTTTGTGCACGGGCGTCGTGATGGGGTTGTAGCGGCCCGTGTTGGAGGGGATATCGACCGTCGGCACCAAGACGGCCTCCTCGGCGTCCACGGCGCCCAGCTCCCCGGCGACGCCCCCCGCCAGAGGGCTGACTTGTGTCAGGAGCAGCTCGAGGTGCAAGCCGTTGAGGCCGGGCCGCGAGACCTCGAGCTCGTGCAGCAGGTTCGTCTTGGCTATCGTCAGGCTGGCGGCATGGTGCTGGGGCTGTGCTTGTCGGATCCGCACGACGAGGGGCTGGCGGGGATCGTGCGTCGCAACCTGCTTCTCCCAGTCCTGCTCCGAGGCGAGAGGGTCGGCGAGGAGGAGACGCAGGAGGTCCTTTGCCGTTGTGCCTGGCTCGGCGCCATGGGCGAGACCGAGGATCGCGACGCGAATGGATTCCTCGCCGGCCGGTTGACGCAGGCCTTGGAGGGCAAGCTGCAGGCGCGAGAGGTTGATGTAGTTGGGGGCGTGTTTTTGGAGATCGAGAAGGGTATCGATGAGCTCGGCACGGGGATTCGAAGGTGCCGTTGGCGTCGTGGACTGGAAGCGGCGAGGTGTTCTGCGCATGAGGGCGCTGGAGCTGAGGGCGCAGAACAGGCAGGCGGGGGTCCTGGCAAGCGATGGCCGGGGCTGGAGGGTCGAAGCAACCGAGCGGCCTGCGATGGCGCGCAGGGGGATCCGCGAGGTCATGGTGGGCGAGGGAAGAGGGGATGGCCCTGGACCATGGGCAAGATGTCGATTGTCGATGCTTTCTGCTTCTGGATGCTTGATCCCGATGCTTCAGACGGAAGCTTCAGACCAAAGTTCATTGACAGTGGAGCTCTGAGGTTCCGAGCTGCTTACTAAGGCACATCGGCAAGGGGGAAGGGGGAAGCAGCGAACGAAGAACCCCGCCGAGCACCTGTCACCAGGAACAGGAACAACGCCTAGGAATATCTCCATCACCAACCAACACAAGAATCAGAAGAACCAAATACACCCCCAGCCGGCGATTGAAGACATCCAAAAAAAAAAAAAAATGGCCCAGTCCACCGCCCACCGCCGCCTCCTCCAAGAATACCGCGCCCTCACCAACAACCCCCCCGACGGCATCACGGCCGGCCCCGTCACCGAAGACGACCTGCTGCACTGGGAGGCCCTGATCCAGGGCCCCGAGGGCACGCCCTTCGAGGGCGGCGTCTTCCCCGCCGAGCTGCGCTTCCCCAAGGACTATCCGCTGGCGCCGCCGTCGATGCGCTTCCTCGCCGACGTCTGGCACCCCAACGTCTACCCCTCGGGCCTCGTCTGCATCTCCATCCTGCACCCGCCCGGCGACGACCCCAACCACTACGAGCACGCGAGCGAGCGCTGGAGCCCCATCCAGAGCGTCGAGAAGATCCTCATCAGCGTCATGAGCATGCTGGCTGAGCCCAATGACGAGAGCCCTGCCAATGTCGAGGCTGCCAAGATGTGGCGCGAGAGGCGGGGCGAGTATGAGCAGAAGGTGCGCGATGGCGTCAGGCGCATGCTGGGGCTGTGATTGTTTCTTCTGCGTGGGATGATGAACAAGATGTGAAGCGTGGCTGGACGATGCAACGAGAGCGTTTCACGACGCGGGAACAGCACGAAAGCCGGCAGCACGAAAGCCGGCAGCACGAAAGCCGGCAGCACGAAAGCCGGCAGCACGAAAGCCGGCAGCACGAAAGCCGGCAGCACGAAAGCCGGCAGCACGAAAGCCGGCAGCAGCAGGCCGGCATACATAGCATGGCGTTGGGGGCTTGTGAATTGAATAATCCGTCTACCCAGCCCGAGTCCGTCTAATGCCCCGTCTAATTAAACTCCATGGCCTGCTGCCCTTGTCCATGGCCTGCTGCCTTGATCCTTGGCCTCCTGCCTTGATCCTTGGCCTCCTGCCTTGATGCACGCCAGCAACCGCCTACAAGCCGTTCTCCGACTTGAACTTGTCCCAGCTCTCGTTGAGCGTCGCGAACACGGTCGCCGCAATGAGCCTGACCTCGGTACTGGCGTCCTGCGCAAGCTGGTTCGAGTCAGCACATGTCTGTTGTCCATCGACACGCCATCAACATACCTTGTCCGGGTGGCACTTGGCAATCGCCTTCATGTACGCAATCTTGACCTTGTTGGCCATGACGAGCTCGTGCAGCCCGACCTTCTTCCACCCGCTGCCCTCCCAGAGCACCGCGTCGAGGCTTCCCAGCAGGGCGCGCAGGTTGTCCCGCTTGCCGTCCCGCCACGCCGCGACCCGCGCGTCGACCTTTTCCGACAGCGCAAACTTCTCGTCGTCCTCGGCCGCCGCCGCCACGTTCTGCTGCCGCAGCCTCTCGACGGCCTCGGAGCTCTTCTGCTGCGTCGCCGCCGCACGTGGCCTGACGGGCGCTCGTGCGGGCGCCGCCTTGGGTTTGGGTTTGGGTTTGGCCTTCGGCGCGAGAGCCGCCTGGCACCGCTGCCTGCCTGCGACGGCCGTGGGTCCGCCGATGCCGCCCTGCACGCACGTCTGCCACACGGCACCGGCCTCCGCCCAGCGCTCCATCTGCTCGAGCGCCTCGGCCTTGCGGCTCAGCGCCTTGGCGTAGAGGTCGCGCATGTCGCGGCGCTCCTCGGCGCCAGCGTCCGTCGTGACGCTGACATGCTCGCCCTGGCCCTGAGAAGGGCCTATGACCTGCAGCGCGGCGTCGGCATCCTCGACAGCCTTTTTTGGCTCGCCGTTCTTCAGAGAGGTGAGGGCGCGGTTCGTAAGAATGACAATAGCGAGGGGGTGGGTGGATGGCACCGCTGCGAGGGAGCTGGAATACGATGCATGGGCAGAGGCATAGTCGCCACGCTTGAAGTGCTGGGTGCCCGCGAGGCGGTGCTGCGCGGACTGCGCGACAGCTGCTGGCGAGATTGGTGGGATTCGGCGGGCGGAAGCTGTTGCCCGTGGAGCGGCAGCGGGCGTGGGCCGCTTGACGGGCTGAGCAGCCTGTGCTGCACGCTGTGGTAGTGTCGTCTGGGGCTTTGGTGCTTGCGAGTTGAACGTAGATCAGGCTCCTCCTGCGGTGCTGCCGGCTGGGACTGTGGCTGGGGCTGAGGGGTGGCCTTCTTCCTCCTGTGCGGGCTCACATAGGATGAGAGACTGTCGTCCTCCATCGCAAGCTTGCTGGCGCGGGCCCTTGAATCGGGAATGACGGGCGCCGACTGCTGCCACCTCGGCGCCGGGCTGTTGCGTCCAGATGACGGGCCAGCCGACAGAGCCGGGGACGGCCCGCGCGGCGACGCCTTGCGCTCGTCGGGCCGCGGCGCTTGTGGTCTCTGCGCTGGTCTCCTCTCTGGTCGCGCTCCAGAGTCGAGCATCATGGCCTCGTCCGTCGCTTCTGCAGCTTGTCTGCTGGGTGCAGGCGCGCCCTGTTCTTGCTGTGCCGAACGCATCCACTTCGGCTGGCTAGGGTCTCCCTCGGGCTGGTTGAACTCGGCGTATGCCTGCGCGACCTGTTTCTTGCTCGTCTTCCAAAACGAGTTGGCCGCCTTGAAGACGCTGCTTCCCACAGCCGCGGCGGCCTTGGAGAGGTCATCGCCAGCGGCAGGTGACCTAGAATCCGTCCGCCGAGGTCCATCGGCTCGTCCTACGTCGCGATGTCTCCTGGACTCGGCCAGGGGGTCCTTTCCCTGTGCCTTCGCTTTTGATAGCCGATGCGCATCGTCGAGTAGCCAGTTCGCCGCCGCTTGCACGTTGAGGCCAGCACCACTCTCCGTCAAGCCCCGCCTGGCGTTTTCGGGTGTGAAGCCATAGCCCACGAGCTGCGCGACAGCATCATCAAACTCGTCCGACTGGCCTTTTCCTCTTCGCCGAGGTTGCACAGGTGCTTCATCGTCTGAGCTCGAGTCGAAGCCCTCGATAGGCTTTCCTGCCTCGGGCTGCTTCGGTTGTGGGGTGTGCTTGCGCCGTACCTCCTCCACCGGTTTCGCCAGGTCACCCAGAAAGTCGTCATCGTCCGCCGTGTTGATCGACGCCGCCGGTACCGCAGCGGGCGCCTTTCCCTTCATAGTGTTCAAGCCGAAAGGGTCGTCGTCGTCGTCAAAGTCGACATTGCTCGTGCTCGCGGCGGGCGCCTTGTTCCAGGCGGTCGGATCGCTCAAATCCAGCGCCGGCGAGACGGGCTTGGGAGCCGGCGGGGGGTAGTGGCTCGCATTGTCAACCTTGGTGTCCTTGTTGAAGGCCGCAAACAAGTCATCGTCAGCGCTGGTGCCGACGCCGTTGCCGCTCGACGTGGCTGGGGCGCGCGAGGGCGGCGCCAGCGCAGGCGACGCCGTGCGCGACGCAGCGCTGCTGTTGCCGAGCGTGTCCCAGAACTGCCCGCTGCCGAAGCTCGTCTCGGCCTGTTTCCGCCTCTCCTCGGCCTTTTGCCTCTTCTCGGCCTCGAGCCGCTCCTGGCGCTCGCGCAGGGAGAGGTTCGCGTTGGGCTTGGCGGGGCCGCCAAAGTTGAGGAGGTTGCTGAAGCTGTCGGCGGGGGCGGCGGGGGGTTTCGTCTGGCCGCCGCCGATGACGGGCGGCGTCGAGGGCTTGCTCTGCGTCGTCGAGAGGGGTGTGTTGCGGCCGGACTGGAAGGGCGAGGGCGAGGGGTTCAGTTGGGCTGAGCCGTAGTAGTTGGCGCCTGGAGGGATGGAGGGGGCTTTTGGCTGTTGTTTGGTGCTCGATGCGGACCAGTCCAGCCCGGAGAGGTCGTCCATTTTGGAGGTGGGAAACTTGGGTATCGATGTAAATCTATTGTCGGAGGATCATGGAGTGCGGTTCATAAGGTCGTCAGAAGGAGATGCGGGATGCAATGGCATGTGTCGTGTGAGGTCGAGCGAGAGGGAGCAAGGAGCTCCAGGCCAGCTGGTGCTTGCCGTCTGTCGTGACACGCGGCGGGGCGCATTGCCTGCTGACATAAGCCGCTGTCCTCACTGAACACGTTGCCTACCTCACCACCTTGCCTTCACAGCTTGCCTTAACAGCTTGCCTACCTAGGTAGGTAGGTAGGTAAGGTACCTAGATTAGGTAGGCAGCTGAGAGAATCGTGGTCAGACAGTCTGCATGGCTCCAGTCATTCATGTTCTTTGTCTGAATTTTTCATTGACCCATCTGCTCATGCGCGGTCCGTCTGGTGTCAACTGCCTGGCCTCACGTCTTGAACCATGCATGTTCCAGCAACTGATCAACTGTAGGCCTCTTGGAAACGTCATACTGCAACATCCATTGCAGCAAAGACAGAATTGCCTTTGTCTTCTGTGTTGAGAATCGCTGGGGCTGCAAGTTGCGCAAGTCGAGTATCTTCCGCGGAGCATTGAGAATGGAGGATACGCTGGGGGCCATGGGCTCGAGGACCAAACATGGGTGCTGCCCGTTTGGACCCTCCTGGATGAAGGAGTCCAGAAGAGCCACCACAAAGCGTGAATCAGAATCTTCAGGCGCTTTGCTCGCCAGGTTTTGTTGAATGGCAAGTCATGCGCGGTTGCCGTGTTTAGAGACACCAATCTTTAGGACAACGAATTGGTTGGACCTGGTAGACTGTCATTAGTCTGGCTCAGTGCACACATTACTGAAGGCCAACCTAAAGTCCCACGCTAGCCAAACAGTCGAATATGACCCATTTCCAAGTTTACGGATGATTTCGTACCGATCGTTCATGATGTCTCCGAGATGGGTAGGGTGGAACCCTCCTGGCCGATAAGACCCGCCACCCCCCAACCGCCCACCCCCCAACCGCCCACCAGAATACACCAAAAATAGCGATTTACAGGGGTCTATATCTCCACTAATAGTAAAGCTAGATATCTAGATTTTCTATATAATAATATTTAGGCTATAAATCTAGTATAGTTAAATTCTTATCTTATCTTAAAGCCTATAGCTCTTATTATAAGCTATTTAAATAGCTTAATAATAGATTATATAGTAACTAGTTTTAATAATATAAATATATTAAGCTATATATTAAATAAGTTTAGGGTTATAATAAATTATAATAAAACTCTAAGAATCTAGTTCTATATTCTTAGCTTATAATACTTAGTCCTTAATAAGCTACTAAAGTAATTAGATTCCTCTATAGTAAGTTTTAATAGAGAATCTTAGAAACTCTATATTATAGGGGCTATAAGTTATCTTATAGCTTTATTCCTTTAAATAAGCTTACTTATAGAGATATAATAATTATAAAATATTAAAAGTCTCTTTATATTATTTCTTAGGCTTAGTATAAATTTTATTAGGGTTATTAGGAAAATGCTAGTTAAAATAAAAACTAGATTTCCGAAAATTATATCTTCTTCTAAAGTTATAGTATCCTCTTAAAACTCTAATAGTAATATATTAATAGCTTAATCTATACTATATAGAAAATCTAGATATCTAGCTTTACTATTAGTGGAGATATAGACCCCTGTAAATCGCTGTTTTTGGTGTATTCTGGTGGGCGGTTGGGGGGGTGGGCGGTTGGGGGGTGGCGGGTCTTAAGATTCATCCCATTCGCATGGGATGCCAGTCTCCGTAAACCCACAGTCTCTCTGTCTGGCAAATGCCTGCGCCGGCGGCGTTGCTGGCTCTGACATATTGTTTTTGCAGGAAACGAGCGTAGGAAATATCGTGTCGTAGAGAGGGGAGAGATGAGGAGCGCAACCGAACTCTTTGGCTGGCTGCTGTGGCACTAAATGTGCTGCGGCGCTTCGAGACGCTCTGTGATGGGCTGGTTTAATGACCGTCACCATTGCAGCCTTATTCCTATTCTCGGTACTCCCTTACTCTCTGCTTTCAAGCTTGGAGTCGCATTCAACACATCACCACATTTCTGAATACTTGGCATTAGATGATTAGTTTGGAAGTATTGCTTGCGAATACATGGCATTAAATCAATAGTTCGGAAGTATAACTTGCGATCTGCGGACTTACGCCATGTGTCTTCACGCCATCACTCCCGATACCTACCCGGCCTTTCACTGACGTGGTGGATGTTGCTATTAGTCACGCGTCAGTGAGTTGATGAGTAGATATCGACCTCGCTCGTGGAACCAATGCCATGTTGTTGTGTCTTATTAGCGGTAAAGACAGACACGTGAAGGAGCGATTCGAGTCCTTACCAGATGCTCCAAAGGTAAAATCGACATCAGCGCCTCGCCTGCGGCAGCGGACTTCATAGACGAGGGCATGGGAACGCGTTCGCGAAACGAAGGACGTGGACATGTCCTCAGTTTGATTATAATATAGTATCAGCCCAGGGAAAACTAAGGTACCCTCATGTACACCAAAATTGAGGTGATGGCTGAGAGCAAGGTCATAACTCCAGAGGCAAACGTTCAGCAAGCGAGAAATCTGTCCAAGTCGCTAGCGCCGGAGATGTCTTATGTAGTTCTACGACTCCACGATATGGATCTCGCGAACTATTAGCAAATCTTCTCCTTGCTTGAAATACTTGTTCACAGGTCTCGCTCTGTAAGTCACCAGGCAATGAGTTCCTGGAGAGCAAATGGGTTGATCTTCATTAAAAGATTTTGAGGCTTGGTCGGAGGTCCAATCCTTCTTTATGCGAGGCCCTAGGCTCATTACACCGTTCAACCCTGGCGTCACCTTGGGTTCACCTGCCAAAGTCTCATGCGCGGCGATTCATTTGCGAGCTGGTAGCGGCGGGCTTTCATGACGGCATCTCGCTCCAGCTCCAGTGACCGCTGTCACTTGACTCAACCATCAAACATGAGTTGTGAAGTCTTCGTAGTTGGCCAGCTCCTTGGCTGGGTACCTATACCTAGATGGAACCATCAAGACAGAAATGACAGCACGTGATGGTCTGGCAATATCGCAGTGAAGCATGGCATGGCTGGGGTGCTCACGCATTACTGGTCACGTGTGGTCAATGCGAGCGAGCAAGACCAATAGTGGAAAGAGGAAAATAATAAGAGCAAAACCACCAAGGCCGGCCGCCGTGTTGTGCTGTCGACCTTCAAGCTATCCATTCCCTCGGCGCAAGGGACGTCTTGTCGTGCACGAGGGCGAAATAGTGATCACCCGCACATGTCGTCATAAAGCGGGACATTTTGGTCACAGTAAGACATCAGCCATGTCACGGAAGCCGATGACTCGTTTCGACAGAATTCCAGAAGACAATGGCCCGTGCCTGCTGTCGACCAGCTGGCGATTCGGCATCCTGGCAGACGGCTACAGTAACTTCGCGGCTGCGCCCACCCCTGGATCGAAGTTCAAATTCCAGGTGAAGGTAGGGGGTGCTAGGTGGCGCTTATTGGCCAGCGTTGTAGCGTCGAGAAGAAGATCCGAAACGGGTTTCACTCCTGGGGCTGAAGGAACAAAGGGTGAACCTCGAGAGGGGCCTTGGCACGAACAATTTCCTTGGCACAATTTCGCTCCCCAGAATGTCCATTTGCTGGTGATGATGTTCGCGGCACTGGTCGGCTTGGTTGCTTTGCAAGATTCAGGACCGCCGTTAGACAGAATTGCCTTTAGAAGGAGCAAGCATGTTGGAGATGCGTATTTCAACAGCACCAAAGATACCGCGGCGTCGGACCGCGCCACGGCACCGCAGAGCGGTCCATCGTATCAGAAACAGCAGGCGTGAAATGACAGGCGAGAAGGAGGCGCTGTAGTGCGAGGAGGTCCCGCAGCGTTAGCGTCGGATTCAGAGGCCACCGAGGGCAGATTGAAGCAGATTGAAGCAAATTGAAGCAAATTGAAGCAAATTTGCGCAATCGTCGACGGGGCCTAGACAGAAAACTTGGTTGCGCAACGACAAGGGCGCACATAGAACAAAAGGCGAAGCGTATGGGTTGGCTGACGAGCGTCAAATGTAGTGCGACAGTCGACAGCGTGCAGTTGGTGGTCGCGAGGCGGCCAGCGCACATCGGAATCAGGCCAATCTATGAGTTCGTCGGGAATTGGCCAGTTTGACGTGGTGCGACGTGGACCTTGGGACGATTGTAGGCTCGTGCTTCGTCGTAAGGAGGGGTGTCCCTGTTTGTCAAAAGGCGGTGCGCGCTGCTGGTGCTGGTGCTGGTGCTGCTGCAAGATCTGGTGCCGCGCGTGGGCAAGATCGCGTCTGTCGCGCGCACGGCTGACGCTGGAGTCCAAGCCGTCATGAGGAAGACTGACATGGTGGCAGGAGAAGCTATTGGGGTCAAATGCCCATCATCATGAAGGTAAGATTCCACGAGGCGGCGCACCGGCACGCGCCATGGAATAGTACCAAGGAGGGCAGTGGCGATGCAGTGCCAGACTGGGTGGCAGGAGCGATCGATGGTGGGACAAGCAGCACTAGCAGCTAGCAGGCAACGGCGCGCAGCGGCAATCAGCAGCCCAATGCGCCAAGGCATGTGCCTGCCTCACCTGGCTCACTTGGCTCACCACTTCTCAGGGGAAACAACCACTCACAGCCACGTCCAAAGTTCGGGAAGGTGCCGCCGCCCAAGGCGTTAGCGCCCCCCTGACTTGACTCGTCTGGATGTCTCCGCCCCCCCCCTCCCCTTGAGGAGCCGTTCAGGTCCCCGGACGGTCCCTGGTGTTGATCATGCCGGCACAATGGCCCCGCAACTCACCCAATGGCGCGGCAGAAGCGCGCCCCCCAAGTGGTAGGCAGCGTCTCCGTTCCCCACTCTGCTGCCACCCCCGAGATCTGATGTTCCCCCTTGCCATTTCCCATGTTGCGCATTTGGCACTTTCCGCTGAACATCCCTCCTTGCTGGAACTTGGCACTTGCTTCTCTCGTCCGTAGGCGCCCTTTCCCTTTATGCAGATCTCCGACGACAGCGCCCATCTCGGACGAATTGACATTCCTGATCGTCGCATGAGCATGAGCCTCAGCTGCGCGTAGCGGCTGTGCGTACCTCGCTGTGCGTACCATGTACACGCTGTGCGTACTGTAGATGCTGTGCACTGGTCCCTGCGCGACGCCTTCAGGTGACGGTGATGCTATGCGACGACTCGATCATCATCGCCCGGGGCGCTATTGTTGGTTCGGCCCTTCTGACGCGAGACGTAGTACCGAGGTCGACACCTGGCGACGCGGCGCAACATGCACCATTGGCCTCTTGACACTTGCTTCCATTCACTGGTTGCTTGTCCTGCGAGGAAGACACAGACAAATGCCTGGCCGAGTTTGTGCAAGGCAAACAATCTCCTGATGCCCGGCTCTCCCCATCTTCAGACAGATCCACAGGATCATCAGAGTCGTATGTGCCGACAGTGCCGTCAAG